GTGGACTATCTTATCCTGTAAAGCATGAATCATTGCTGTAATTACTGGAAGATGCTGAACGACTCCTAGCATCGCCATCTTTGTCGAAATCTCAGTCTACCGTGAATGGCGATCACAAAAGACAGAAGCGAACGTTTTGTTGCTGGTGCTCGCACCTGAATGTAGATGAGCCATATAAGTAAAAGTAAGTAAGTATTAGGTAGTCACTATGGAGCGTAAAAACGTTTTGTAAGACACATTTCATGAAAAGCAAAGTGAGCTCAAGGATGCGAACTACCATATCTGCCTGAGTCTACGCCCAACAAACTACGCCACTGTTGAATAGCTGGGGGGTTGCTAGCTTCTCCCATCTATTCGACCCGGTGATCTAATGCACAGAAAAGCGGTTCCGCAGCCATGTTCCCAAAATTGTTTAGCAGATTTGTTACACAGACTTGGGGCTAGTGTTTGAAAGCACCTACGGCAGTGTTCAGCTTGTCCTGAATGGCCACCGCGACTAGGTGTTCTGCTGTTGCTGAACATGGTGCTAGCGTATTAAATACTGAACGATGTCAACTACGAGGTTTTAGAGGTGAGAAACCCTACGATTTTCGAGCATGCATTGCGATTCCAATGTTCGTTGGCAAGTATGTTTTACGAAACTATAAGGACTACTGGATGAGTGACTACAGAGTAGGTTTGCACCATGGTTTATATTATTTTAAGCAACATGTGTTAAGATTTCTGATGCAGAACTCATACCTAGGATAATTGTAGATTCTGATCACAACTTTCTATCTTTTTTGTGTATGTGACTGCTGTTTCGGGAATGAGTACCTTATCCGCTGACAGGCCTATCAGTAGCAGATTGAAATGAAGTACTGGGGTTATTCACAAAATTTTTGGAGTTGTACTTATCAAGTAGGAGAGCGCTCAATAATTTCTTTGATTTATTTTCGTTTTTATCATCCCACTATTTGTCATTTTCGGTGACATATGACAACCACAACGTATTTGCGAAGGCGTCAAAATCAACCATAAGATGTTTCACGAACCTGAAACCGGATGTCTTCGATTTATCCAACGTTGATGGATACAAGCGAGTTTCTATCTTTGTGAGCTTTCAAAAGCATTACTGAACAGTGTTGATCTTCCTGCCTCTAGGTTCTGCGAATTTTGTGAGAGGTACGTCTCAACTGCCAACAAGCACTGCTTTCTATGTTCAGCGTGCACATCTAAGGTGAGTTCATTGTAATATCGAATAATTCATCGACTGACCTATGTTGCGTGCATACAGTATATATTGAACTTCGCTGTTCTCCCATTCATGAAACCCAAAATGCATGACCTCACATAGATTTCGAAACTTACATTCAAGGAAGCGATTGCTTTGTCGAAGTACTGCTGTATTCAAACTATTTCTCAACCCTTCTTTGCCATCAACCTTTAATTCATGCTACGCTAATTTAGATCTTAGCTGTTTATTTTCAGTAACGTGTATAAGCGAAAAAATGATGAAATGAGGCCT